CAGATCCAAAGGGAAATGACTCAATATTGGAGACCAATACCGTGAACTGTGTTTGGGAGTGAGTCTGGGGAAGGAAGGTCTTAGAAATCCTTCTCCAGGAGCTGAGTTTAGTATTTGAAGGAAGTTGCCACCTGGTGCCCAGTGGTTACACAACAGATTTGTTTGGTCAGAAGCAAATTTCATTTCCTTTCTCCAAGGTACCTGGAGTACAAGAGGGTCCCTAACAGCAGACCACCTGAATATGAGTTCTTCTGGGGCTTGCACTCCTACCATGAGACTAGCAAGATGAAAGTCCTCAAGTTTGCATGCAAAGTAATAGGAGAGCTGCCCTGACTTGTCATATTAAGGGTACCCTAGCTGGGGCACGCTGTGTGCAGGATGGTTAGGTACAGGGCAGCCTGCAGTTAGTATATAAGTGTATGGAACTTCACTGATGTCTGAGAATGCTGCCTAACATAAAGTTTACCTTGTTTCGTTCTTTCTTTCATAATTTGTGTTAGTCTGCTTGCACTGTCTTAACAAAATAATACAGACTGGGTGGCTTAAACAACAGAAATTTATTTTCTCACGGTTCTGGAGGCTGGAAGTCCCAGATCAAGGTCCAGCAGTGCCAGTTTCTGATGAAGCCTCTCCCTCTGGCTTGCATATGAATGTCTTCTTGCTGTGTTCTCACATGGTGGAGAAAGAGCCTCTTATAAAAACACTAATCTTATTGGACCAGGGCCCCACCGTATGACATCATTTAACTCTACTTCTATAAAGGCCCAGTCTCCACATATAGTCACACTGGGGGCTGATGCTTTAACATATGAATTGGGAGGGAGAGACACAAACATCCAATCCATAACATACTCTCTTTTCATTTCCCATCTTCTCAGTGAGGTTAAGTAACTTGTCCAAGGTCACACAGCACCTTAGTTATCAGAGCTGAAATTGGATCTCAGGACTGACAGAGCCCCAGAAAACTAAGAATTAAAAAAAAATACGGCTATTGATTTTATACAAATCTCATAGTATGTACTTAATGCATAATTACAAATGTTATTGTCCTTATATTGATTATCATTCCCATTTCAGGTACAGAAGAAAGACCCCAAGGACTGGGCTGCTCAGTACCGGGAGGCAGTGGAGATGGAAGTCCAAGCTGCAGCTGTGGCTGCAGCTGAGGCTGAGGCAAGGGCTGAGGCGAGAGCCCAAATGGGGATTGGAGAGGAAGCTGTGGCTGGGCCCTGGAATTGGGATGACATGGATATCGACTGCCTAACAAGGGAAGAGTTAGGCGATGATGCTCAGTCCTGGAACAGATTTTCATTTGAAATTGAGACCAGAGCCCAAGAAAATGCAGAAGCCAGCACCAACATCGACTTCAGCAGAGGAGCTAGCACCAGGGCTACCTTCAGTGATAGTGCTAGTATTAGCTTCAGTGGTGCGCCCAGCCCCAGTGGTGGCTTTGGTGGCAGAGCTGGCATTAGCTTTGGTGGCACACCCAAGACCAGTGCCAGCTTCAGCAGTACAGCCAGCATTTGCTTTAGTGGCATACCCAGCACTAGCACTAGTTTCAGTGGTGCAGCCAGCATTAGCTTCAGTGGTGCAGCCAGCACCAGCTCTAGTTTCAACAGTGAAGCCTGCATTAGCTTTGGTGGCACATCTTGTACCAGTGCCAGCTTTGGTGGTGGGGTCAGCTCCAGTTTCAGTGTCCCACTCAGCAGCAGTCCCAGTTTCAGTGGTGGAGCCAGCTCTGGCTTTGGAGGCACACTCAGCACCACTGCTGGCTTCAGTGGTGCACTCATTACCAGTAGCAGCTTTGGCAGTATACCCAGAACCAGCACAGTCTTTAGTGGTGCGCTTAGCACCAGCACTGGATTTGGTGGCACACTGAGCACTAGTGTCTGCTTTGGTGGCTCTCCCAACTCCGGTGCCAGCTTTGGTGGCACACTTAATACCAGTATCTGCTTTGGCAGCTCTCCTAGCACCACCACTGGTTTTGATGGAGTACTCAGCACCAGTGTCTCCTTTGGTGGCTCTTCTAGCACCAGCGCTGACTTTGGTGGTACACTAAGCACCAGCATCTGCTTTGGTGGCTCTCCCAGCACTGGTGCCAGCTTTGGTGGTGCATTCAGCACCAGTGTTGGCTTTGGTGGTGCACTCAACACCAGTGCTGGTTTTAACAGTGCTGTCAGCACTAGTGGCAGCTTCAGCAGTGCACCCAGCACCATCTCTGGCTTTGGCGGTGTGTTCAGCACCAGTGCTGACTTCAGTGGGGCACTTAGCACCACTACTGACTTTGGCATTGCTCCCAGTACCAGCATTGGCTTTGGTGGAGTTCCCAGCACCAGCCTCTGCTTTGGCAGTGTGTCTAACACCAGCCTATGCTTTGGTGGCCATCCTAGCACTAGCACCTGCTTTAGTGGTGCTACCAGTGCTAGTTTTGGTGATGGATCCAGTACCACTACTGGTTTCATCTTTGGCCATGGGTTAAGCACCAGTGCTGGATTTAGTGGTGGACTGAGCACCAGTGCTGGCTTCGGTAGTGGACCAGGGACCAGTGCTATCTTCGGTAGTGGACTGAGCACCAGTGCTGGCTTTGGTAGTGGACTGATCTCAAGCGATGGCTTTGGTGATGGACTGGGCACCAATGCTGGTTTTAACAGCACACTTGGTACAAGTGCTGGCTTTAGTGGTGGCCTCAGCATCAGTGATGGCTTTGGTGCTGGGCCTAATAACAGCTTCAACGGAGGACCAAGTACCATCATTGGCTTTGGCAGTGGTTCCAACACCAGCACTGGCTTTATTGGCGAACCCTGCACCAGCACCAGCTTCAATGGTGGACCCAGTTCTATCATTGGCTTCGGCAGTGGACCAAGCACAGGTGCTGGCTTCAGCAGTGGACCAAGCAGTGGTGCTGGCTTTGGCGGTGGACCAAGAAATGGTGCTGGCTTTGGTGGTGGAGCCACCAGCCTTGGTGCCTGTAGCTTCTCCTATGGCTAGTGAGGTTTCAGGTAATTACAACATTTCCACAGCCATGGCCCATGGGAATGGATATAAGAGCGGGAAATGTTATAAGAAACCCCAAAGTGGGATGTTTGGGTGGGAAGATGAGGACAATGAAGGAAGTATGAGAAAACAGTATATTTGGTGCTAAAATGTGTTCCTGTTTGGTGTTTTGTTTTCAGGTTTATTTCCCAGGTTTACAGATACGGCTAATGAATTCCAGCAGTTCTTCCCAAGGAGCCAAGGTACATCCTTGGAATTTTTGTCCACACAGCAGTATGAGCAGATATTATCAATTAGCTGAGGGTGACATGCTATGAAAAATCTGCTTGCTGATCCTACTTTGTTGTTTGCTTCTTGTGTGCTGTCATATTTTGGTATCAGAGTTACATTAAATTTGCAAGATGAATTGGAGGTTTTTGTCTGTCTTTTATTGTGCTTAGGTTGTTGTGAGTGACATTTCAGGTTCATAGGAGAACTAGAGATCAGTGTAGCTCTTCAGAGAAGGTGGGCTGCAGCTTTAGGCTAAAATGAAAGTATGATTTCAGTGGGATAGAGACCTGGAGAAAGCACGGCAGGCAAGGGGATTATAGATTGAGCAAAGATATGAGGGGGGGGAAGCCTAGAATAGAAGGCAGAGGGAGAGGGTTCTGGACAGTAAATATAGATTCATTTTGAGACATTTGTATAGGAACGGAGAGATAGAGTGGGACTAGATGTGGACACAGGAACAAGGGAGGGTTTTCTTGAGATAAGAGAGAGAGATCTGAGCATGTTGCAGAGAGTGTGGGGGCAAAAACCAATAAAGGACAGGAGATAGATATAAAATAGTCAAGAATTGACTGAAGTAGCACATGCCTGAGAAGGTGGGATGGGATAGAGTGCCAGGTGACCCTGACTGAATAGGATTTAAAGGTGGCTGTGGAAGCAGATAAACGTAGGTTTGTTTCAAGCAGTAGATCCTCCCAAAAAAGTAATGTGGATTATACAAGGTTTGGGTCTTGCTGGTGGCTATGATGGAAGAACAAAGGAATCAAGGCAGTGAGTATATGAGTGTCTGTCTCTTCACCACTGGGTTGCTGATACCTAGATGCATGGAGAGTGGCTGAAGAAATGGAACATAAGATTTAAGCTGGCTAGGGATGGTAGAACAATGAGGAGGAAGAGAACTGGTGGATTGGAAGACAATGGAGGAATCAAAGGATTATACTCTTGATGCAGTACAAGAACAAATATTGTTCATTCAAGAAATACTACACACATGCCCACTATGTGGGAGGCATGTTTCTAGGGATCCTGTGGATGACAGAGTTGTAAGGACTGGGGGCCAGTGGTCAGATAGTGGGATCCTTGTATTTAAGAAATCATACTGGAGGGGCACCTGGTTGGCTCAGTCATTAAGTGTCTGCTTTCGGCTCAGGTCATGATCCCAGGGTCCTGGGATCGAGCCCCACATCAGGCTCCCTGCTCAGTGGGAAGCCTGCTTCTCCTTCTCCCACTCCCCCTGCTTGTGCTCCCTCTCTCACTGTGTCTCTCTCTGTCAAATAAATAAAATATTTTTAAAAAAGAGAAATCATACTGGGGGCGGGTTGTCTAGATGATGCCAAGATCCATGGAGTGGATGGCTGAGGGGGAAATGGTCACTAGAGTTGAGGGGGTCAGGGGACTTGGAGGCCAGGGTATTATTTGGACAATTTGTATGGACAGTGAAATCACTCAGGATGGCAGCAGGAGTTGGAGAAGAGAGGAACACTGTGGTCCAGGTACAGATTCTTTTGAGTGTAGGAATGAAGGTGTCAGGTCCTCAGCCATGCTGCCCACCAAGGAACAAGGCCCATATGTACTCATAGAGACTTAATCTCCTCCTTCAATTTTAGAGGTGCTACCCCAGAACCCTTCCCTTCAGGAAGTCCTCATCCATTCCATACCCCACAGCACCAGAGGAATTTCACAAGTTGGGATCTTAAGAAGATCCTGTGGGAGAAGCCTCACAATGACTTCCTCTCCCCTTTTGTAGGCAGCAAGAGAAATCTTTATTGATAAGGGTTTAGTAATTAAGAAAGAAAAAGTTTAATTCACAGCTAGACAGCTCCTTGGTTGTAGCTAGAAATCAAGACCTGTAGGCCAAGTCCAGGATCTTAAGGTAGGAGAAGTGCAAGGATAGCAGCTCTTAAAAGTGGGAGACAGTGAGAGCAAAGGCAGTTTTACTTTTTGGAAAGGGCTCAGTAGTGGGCAGGGACAGTGTCCAGAGCTTCCTCAGGTTCTCGGGTGATGTCCACATTCTGAGAGGAGAGAGCCCAGGATTAATAGGAAGGAGCCAGCACTGTGGAGACCCAGCCCCTCCCCTGCCTTTTGTCCTCACTGCCAGGTTCCCCTCCTTCAGCCAGGCCTGGATCCTTTTCTCAGGCAAGCCCCTGGGGAATCTCAACCTGAGGACTTTGGAGTAGGTGTTGCTCTAGCCCTGCATCTCTATGGCACCTCAGACCTGGGCCACAGTTCCTGCATTTCTGGGTGCTGGTTATTCTATCTGTTGGTATGAAACACCCAAGCTCTGTGGGATTGGGGTGGCCTTTCTGTGAAGGTGGGTGCTTTCACCATGTGCCTGCTTAGGCCACAGAGTCCCTCACCTACCTCAGGTTTCTCCCGATGTGTGTTTACGGCTTCCACGTTCAGGTAGATGGACTCCACTTTGCAGCCTCAGAAAAGAACAACCAGTCCATCCATAAGCCCCCAAAGTACGTACAGATCTTCCCTGAGCTGTCATTCGCTCCCTCACCCATCACTACCCATACCCCGAGCTCCACACTGTGTGCAGATTGTGACTACTCTGTAGGGAGGGGAATGTAGACCAGCTGTGTGTTGTAAGGGGAAGACACCAGGTCTAAGAGAAGCCAATGGGATGTTCTCCCAGTTGCCCCTAATAGTCTCAGAGTTCTCTGAGCCTCAGTTGCTCAACTTTGAATGGAAAGGAGATGAGAATAGATGATCTCTGGGGACTCCCCCAACTCTTGTGCCCTGTGAGACAGCAATCTAATCTATATAATAGTGATGGAGCCCTGTGGACCTGCTAAGCTGTGTTAAGTGCTGAAGTGGTGGAAGAGTCCTGGGGCCATTGCCTTGGGGCAATCAGTCCCAGGTAAAGTTTATTTAGAGGACAAAATGATTATGGCAACAACAGAGGTGTGGGAGGTCACAAAGGAGTTCTGAGAGCCTGAAGAAAAAGGAGAGTGGTATCACTGGGCGCTGTCAGAGGTGGTCCAATGCTTATGGAAGCCCCCCTTAGCTCCATCCCTGTGGATTGCAACCTACTCTGGGCTTCAGTGCACTGTCTTCCCTATTCACACCCCAGAAGATATTTGAGTCTCTCTCTCCCCTGCTCATAAATATTTCATAGCAAACCAATGTCCCAAGAGACAGTCTAAACTGGCCAGGCTGGTCTTTCAGATCTTTCTTCAATCTGGCCCAACCTACACTTACTCCTCTGGTCCCCTCTGGGGACCTCTTCTTCTACAGGTTAGTGTTCCGTGTTTGGTGCTTTGGTAGAGCCAGAAAAAGTTGAGGACAGGCCCCGGATTTAGAGGCCATCCCAGGTCTTCCCTGTTCTCATCCTATTATTGCCAATTCTTCCTTCACCAGGACATCCAATTACCCACCCAAGAAACCTCCCCCAGGACTCTGCTGGGCAAATGGTATGCACTGGAAGCATGCTCATGCTCTCTATGTGTCTTTCCTCAGATGAGGGTGGGGGCACTCACCATAAGCCACAGGTGTGAGTTTAAGCACTGTGTGCAAAGGACACTTGAGATATGGCAGCTCATCTGGAAAGGAGGAGAAAGCAGCCATCAGAGAAAAGGTACTGGGGAAGGTGCCATCTCCCCAGGCCTCCTCTGCCATACCCCCTTCCTTATGACCACCTTCATCAGGGTTACACCCTCCCACACACACTCTGCAGTGGGCAGTGTTGAGAACAGGGTGGGCAGTGAGGAAGGATGTAGAAAGGTGGCCTCTAGAGCAGAGAGGAAGGAAGGCCTTGGGGAATGCGGACAGACTGTGAGTTCCCCAGGAAGGACAGGCTGGTTATTTGGGATGTGGTCTATCTCCTCACTCACAGGGCAAACATGAGACTAAGGCAGACCTCCCTCCTGCCCCCAGCCTCAGGTCTTCCACAGGTTCTTCTAGCATGAAGGCCCACAAATGTGTCTTGGCAAGTGTTTTCTGGGAGCTTGTTATGTGCCAGGGCCCTTGGAAATGTGTACATGTACCTTGGCAGCTCCCACAGTTTTCTCTCCAGCCCAGGCCTGTGCTTTCTGACTCCTCTCACGCTTGTTGATGGACAAGCATTTCTCAATTCACTTGTTTCCAGTTGTTGACTATTATTCATAAAGTTGTTTTGAATATTCATGTACCATTTCTTTTATGAGCCTAGGTTTTCATTTATTAGACATCCTTAGGAGGAGATGATCAGGCCCATTCCATGGGTGAGGACACTAAGGCTCTGAGAGGAAAGACACTTGTCCTATGTCACAGTCAGGAAGTGGCAGCATTGGGACTTGAACCTAAGACCCTCTGAGGCTAAATGCATGCTCTGCCCACTGCAGCCACCGACCACTGCCTTGGAGGGACTCACAGTGTCATGGGGGCAACACCCCCATCCCTCACCACTCTCCAACAATAGCCACCCTCTCCCAGCCAGGCTGCCCTTACCACTTGCCAGCTCCCTTCACTGGGCCAGATCCAAACCCCTCATGGCTTCTCTGCCCCCAAGGCTCATCGTGGGCTTTCAAGGCTCCCACCACACTCCAAGCCTCCTGAGACATCAGGTTTGGCGATATCCTGGGCATCCATCCCACTCCTCCTCCTCCTCCTCGTCTTTGTCATCGTCATTGTCAGGTCCTGGGGCCCAGTGGTCTGGGTGCAAGATCTCATTCCATCCTCACTGATACTCTGTGGGGGCTACTGTTCCCCATGGCACATGTGACAAAATGGACTCGGAAAAGGGAAGTGACTTGCCTGAGGTCTCTGACCTAGCTCTGCCATCACCTGGACAAGTGACCTTGGCCCAACCTTTTCTCTCTCTGGCCCTCAGAGTTCCCACCTGTCACAGCACAAGATTGGGCTAGATAGATATACTCTGAGGGTGCCCCAGCTCTGAGGTCCTGTGGGTCTGCTTTCCCAGTCACAGCATCTCTCTGGGCCTCAAGTTTCCTCACTGAATAATAGGGGTAAGAGTATGTACCCAGCACTGCCTAGCCCAGCTCCCAGGGCGGCTGGGCGCAGCTGGCGTGGCCTGCGCATGAAAGAAGGTAGGAAGTGGGTAAAGCAGTGGGAGAATGACAGGTACATGTGCCCCTCCCCCACTCTATGCGTGTCTGAGGTGGGGGTCCTCTGGAAAGCACCTGAGGTTGACACCCCTCCCTGTCCCACTGAGCCCCGTGACCTCGGGCAGGTCACTTCACCTCTCAGAGACTCCATCCCCTCATCTGCACAGTTAGGGTTACTTACGCTGCTTGCCTCATGGTCCCAAAGACAGTACCAAGCAGTAGAAATTGGAAGTTATTGGAAATCTAACAGCACAAGAACCCTCACCCCAAACCACATCCCCTTTTCCAGTGAGGAGACTGAGGGCCAGGCAGAGGAAATGATTTGACCAATGTCAAGTTCTCAAGTTCCCTGGGTTTCAATTTGGGATGACTCCATATTATAATGCCCTTTATTTGGAAACTAGCATAGTAGAGAAGATTCAAGTCTGTAGGACATTGCACAATATAACTTTCAAGTATAACTTTGCAAGGTCTTCACACACCCTCACAGTATCCTGGAGATGCTAATACTTCAGCATCCACATCAGAAATGGACTGTCAAACCAAAGAGTGACATAACAGTCCCTTGCCAGTCTCGCTGCCCTAGTTTGCAGTTCAGCATATGTTGTTAGTGTATAGATACTTTGTAAATTACAGTGTCTAGATATCTTTTAAAGAAGAAATTATCATTTAAAAAAGTAAAATGAAAATATCACTATCTTGGGAGAAATCATCCCCATAGCAAAGACAGAAACTTATAATCAGGATCATGAAGCAACAGAATGTCCCATTACCACCTGATGACAGCATGTTTCAGAGAAGTACTGTCTCAGCTTTTTCAGGTTGATGCATACTGTTAAGGTTGGCTTTGAAAATATTAACTCAGAATAATACTAATACTAAAAACAGCAGCTAACACTTATATAGCCTATACTATGTGTCATGAACTGTCCTAAGCTCTTTACATATTTTAATTTATTTAAACTTTATTATTGTTCTCCCCATTTTACAGATGAGGAAATTGAGCCCAGAGAGGCTAAAGTAATTTGTCAAAGCTAGTATGTGACAGAGAAAGAATTTGACCTCAAGCATTCTTAATCTAGATACTGTGCTCTTAACCACTAAGATATAAACCACAGACTGCTGGTGTCAGGGTCCCAAATCATATCCAGTTCCCTATGCCAGGAACAGAGAGGAGAGTGGTACCTGAGCTCTTATCCAGGAAGTAGGCCAGGAGGCACCGCATGACAGCCTGATGGCAGATCACCAGTACATTTTCCTGCCGTTCTAGCTCCATTATAACTGGCTCCAGACGCTGAACCAGATCCTCATAGGACTAAAAATGACAGAATATTTGGGTAAAAAAGGTAGATGAGGAGGTTTGCCCAGAGAAGAACTCAGGACTAGGAATCAGGAAATGTTGGTTCTGGCACCAGTTCAGTAGTTGACCCAGTAGTATGACCTTAGACCACTCATTTCTTTTGTAGTGTCTTAGTTTCTCATCTACTAGATGGGAGCATTCAATACAGTGGACCAAATAACAATAATAATAAAACTTCTCAATATAAAATTCCTAGATTTCTTCCCCTTCAGGTTTCCCTCCCTTCCCCTGTTGTCCTCCATGCTATTCCTTATGTTCCGCATATGAGTGAAACCATATGATAATTGTCTTTCTCTGCTTGACTTGTTTCACTTAGCATAATCCCCTCTGGTTCCATCCATGTCGATGCAAATGGACTTGGGGAAACAAACTGAGGGTTACAGAGCGGAGGGGGGTGGGGAATAGTGTAATCGGGTGATGGGAATTAAGGAGGGTACATGTTGTGATGAGCACTGGGTGTTATACACAACTAATGAATCATTGAACACTACGTCAAAAATTAATGATGTACTATATGTTGGCTAACTGAACATAATAAAAATAGATAAATAAAAATAGTATTTTTGCTCCTTAAAAAATAAAATAAAATTCCTAGAAAAACTAGATAAAATAAATGTTTGCACTGCTGATCTTTCAACAAAATAAAGGAAAACATGAATGTAGGGTTCCAAAATGAAGAAAAACTTGGGGAAAAAAGAGAGGTAAGTGGATTTAGAAGGCACAACTGCCCTGGGGGCATTTGCCAATCACAGTATCTGAGAGGCTTGAGATTTTTTTTTTTTAAAGATTTTATTTATTTATTTGAGAGAGAGAGTGAGAGAGAGAAAGAGCACAAGAGGGGGAGCGGGAGAGGGAGAAGCAGACTCCCTGCTGAGCAGGGAGCCTGATGCGGGACTCAATCCCAGGACTCCAGGATCATGACCTGAGCTGAAGGCAGTCGCTTAACCAACTGAGCCACCCAGGCGCCCGACGCTTGAGATTTTAAAACATCATAGAGACAGAAGACAAGGCCTTAGGTGTTCATAAGGTGGAGAATTGGGACTGAAATTTTCACAAAAATCTGAGACACTCAAAGGGCTACATCATTAGTAGAAGTGTAAACTAGAAAAAATATATATCCACAGGCAAAAGGAAACGATAACATTTATCTGCCTCTGCTTGACTCAGTGGAAAAATTAGGAAAAGCTTCCTATAATAATATATTAACCACAAGCTTACTATCAGGTGGGTTTGTGGTTCAGACTTACAATACACGTGTTTTAGAAAATGCTAAGATGGGAGTTTAATGAAAAGCAATTTCAAGTCATTAGTTCTAAAGTATATGGAAGAAGCAAATGGAAATTATCTCTGAATCCTCTCAACTTAGTCTGTGCAGAATTCTTACATATAAATTTTGTCAAACTGAAGCTTGCATAATAGGCATGGGAGATAAGCTATCATGAGTGAAAATAAACAGAAACAATAAGAGGAGAACCCTAAAAACATAAGATAAAAGATCCATTTAAATATACATATGTAAAATAAATATGTTTGAAATTTATAAAGAAATAAAAGATGGAATAAAAATGTGAGAAAAAATAAGATACTATTAAATATATGATAGAGATTTAAAAAAACTAATAGAATTTTTATAAATAAAAATTTATTTATTAAAATTGAAAACTCAGTGGACTGAATAAATGAAAGATTAGATACAACTTAAGAAATAGTGATTTGGAAGATAGAGCTGAAGAAATTACTCAGAATGCAGCAAAGACATCAAAAATAAGTTAGGAAACATAAAGGAATTGGACGGGATTAACACCCATTCAGTTTTATTTCCAGAAGGAGATAATAGAGATTATGTGAAAAAGGGAAGAAGCCATAATGTCTGAGAGTTTCTAGAATACAAGAAGACCTAACAGTTGTAAATATTTATGCCCCCAACATGGGAACAGCCAACTACATAAGCCAACTGTTCACCAAAATAGTCATATTGATAATAATATGTAAATTGTTGGAGACCTCAATACTCCACTTTCAGCAATAGATCATCTAAAAAGAAAATCAACAAAGAAACAAGAGCTTTGAATGATACACTGGACCAGATGGACCTCATAGATATTTACAGAACATTCCACCCTAAAACAACAGAATATTCATTCTTCTCAAGGATACATGGAACTTTCTCCAGAATAGACCATGTACTGGGTCGCAAATCACGTCTCAACCGATACCAAAACATTGAGATTATTCCCTGCATATTCTCAGACCACAATGCTTTAAAACTGGAACTCAATCACCAGAAAAAATTTGGAAGAAATTCAAACACTTGGAAGATAAAGACCACTCTGCTCAAGAATGTTTGGGTCAACCAGGAAATCAAAGAACTTAAACAATTCATGGAAACCAATGAGAACAAAAACACATCAGTCCAAAACCTATGGTATACTGCAAAGGCGGTCCTAAGAGGGACATACATAGCCATCCAAGCCTCACTCAAAAAAACCAAAAAAATCCCGAATTCACCAACTAACTCTACAACTTAAAGAACTAGAGAAAAAGCAACAAACGATGACCAAGCCATGCATTAGAAGAGAAATAATTAAGATTAGAGCAGAAATCAATGAATTAGAAACTGAAAACACATTAGATCAGATCAAGGAAACTAGAAGCTGGTTCATTGAAAGAATTAAGATCGATAAACCACTGGCCACACTTATCCAAAAGAAAAGAGAAAGGACTCAAATTAATAAAAATATGAGTGAAACGGGAGAGATCACAACAAACACCAAGGAAATAGAAACAATTATTAGAAATTATTATCAACAACTGTATGCCAATAAATTAAGCAACCTGCATAATGGATGCCATCCTGGAAACCTATAGACTGCCAAGACTGAAACAGGAAGACACTGACAACCTGAATAGGCCAATAACCAGTAATGAGATTGAAGCAGTGATCAAAAACCTCCCAAAAATCAAGAGTCCAGGGCCTGATGGATTCCCTGGGGAATTCCACCAAACATTCAAAGAAGAAATAATACCTATTCTCCTGAAGCTGTTTCAAAAAACAGAAACAGAAGGAAAGCTTCCAGACTCATTCTATGAGGCCAGCATTACCTTAATCCCAAACCAGGCAAAGACCCCATCAAAAAGGAGAATTTCAGACCTGATGAATATGGATTCCAAATCCTCAACAAAATCCTAGCTAATAGGATCCAACCATACATCAAAAGGATTATCCACACTGACTACATGGGATTTATCCCCGGGATGCAAGGGTGGTTCTACATTCGCAAATCAATCAATGTGATAGAACACATTAATAAGAGGAGAGAGAAGATCCATATGGTCCTCTCAATTGATGCAGAAAAAGCATTTGACAAAATACAGCATCCTTTCCTGATTAAAACTCCTCAGAGTATAGGGATAGAGGGAACATTCTTCAGGTTCATAAAATCCATCTATGAAAAATGCACAGCGAATATCATCCTCAATGGGGAAAA